GAATTACATGCATGTGCAACCATGCCCGCCAATTTTTTAAAATAATTTTTTTAAATAGTTAACCTTGGCCAGGTGTGGTGGCTCAACTCTGGGAGGCACTTTGGGAGGCCAAGGCAAGAGGATTATCTGAGCCCGCAAGTTTGAGACCAGCCTGGGCAGCATGGTGAGACCTCGTCTCTACAATAAATCAGAAAAATTAGCTGGGTGTGGTAGCTCACACCTGTAGTTCTGGCTATTTGGAGGGCTGAGACTGGAGGATCACCTGAGCCCAGCAAGTTGACACTGGGGTGGCCATGAGTGTGCCACTGTACTCCAGCCTGAGTGAGACTCCAACTCAAAAAAAAAAAAAAAAAGCTAACCTCTCAAAAACTCAGTAACTTCTGTGTTAGACACTTTATCTGGCTCTCTAAAATATATTCCCCTACTTAAACTTCTTGTCATCCTATTTGGTAGTCACTCCTGACCCCATTTTACAGATAGAGAAACTAGGGTTCAGAGAGACTGTGTCTGAGCTGGGGGCCCTGTCTACTGAGTTGCAGAGCCAGAGTCTGATTGGGATGGATTGGAGGCCAGTTGTGAGCCACTCCTTCCTCCCCAGCATGGTTTTTCAAATGCATTTCCCCCTTAATTTCACCAGGCGTGGTAGTTGCTTTGTCGTTGTTTCTTCCAAATGTTAATATTTTTTCTGTGATATAAAAATCGAATACCTGAACTTGTTAGAAATAACAAGTAAGAGCTTGGACTCTGGAGCTGAACTTCTGAGTTCTCCTCTTGACCCTACCCCTTGCTAGCATGTACAGATTATCTAGCTTGCTTTGTCTTAATTCATCATCTGTAAAATCGTCATAGAAGAGGGATATTGCTGTCTAAGGCCCTTAAGGAAGCTGTTAGCAGATGAGCTCTAGAGATGGTGAGGAGCTGGTACAGTGCATTTGGGGAGCATTGAGTGTCTGTAGCTACAGACTTGAGACTGAAACAAACGTGGGAGTGAGTGAGGAAGAGTGAAATGCAAATGTCAGGTGTCCAGCGATGGAGGTATAGATCATACAAGTAATTAAAGGAGAAAAAGAAAGGAAATCGAGGTAGAAGTCTTGTGGATTGCCACGTCTGTAATGGCTGGTAGCCAGGGGACATCATTTAAAGCTGACACATCAGTTAGTAGAAGTATAAGCATATTTAGCAGTTCAAAGGTAAACAGCAAAAGTTATATTGCCTGTAACTATGTAGTGCAAGACAGGCAGATAATACAGACTGTTTTCATTAGTGCTCCTATAGGGAGTCAGTAGTTACTGTGCAAATAAATAGAGGATTAATGGTATTAAATAAAATTGTTTAAAACTACAGTTATAAACACAGAACCAGAAACACATTTTAGAATAAAAATATACCATACTCATTACCAGAAAAGTGGTAACTACACAAAAAAGAAAATACGAGTAGACTTAAAACAATTATTAGGTCAAGCTTGGTGACTCAGTCTGTAATCCCAGCACTTTGGGAGACCAAGGTCAGTGGATTGCCTGAGCCTGCATGTTTGAGACCAGCCTGGGCAACTTGGCAAGTCCTCGTCTCTACAATAAATCAAAAATTAGCCGGGTGTGGTAGTACGCGCCTGTAGTTCTGGCTACTTGGAAAGTTGAGGTGGAAGGATCTCTGGAATCCAGTAAGTCGATGCTGGGGTGGCCATGAGCGTGCATCTGCACTCCAGCCTGGGTGACAGAGTGAGACTCCAACTAAAAAAAAAAATTATTAAACCACACGTAGCAAAAAATGATAAAACTAACACTAACTGTGTCTGACGTATCAGTACATTTTTTTATTTTAAAAAATTTTTTGTTTTAAATATGTGGGGTACAATTCAGGGTTAGGTATATAAATGTTCATTATACATTTTATTTTATTTATTTATTTTTTAGTTGGCGTCTTACTCTTGTTGCCCAGGCTGGAGTGCAGTGGCATGCTCATGACCACCACAGCCTCAACCTGCTGGGCTCAGGAGATCCTTCTGCCTCAGCCTTCCAAGAAGCTGGAATTACAGGCTGGTCTCGAACCGGTGGGCTCAGGCAGTCCTCTCACCTCAGCTTCCCAAAGTGCTGAGATAGGCGTGAGCCACTGTGCCCAGCCTACATTTTACTTTTTATTTTTAGTTTAATTTAACTTTTTTTGATTTGGGGTTCTCTGCTCTGCTGCTCAGGCTGGAGTGCGGTGGCATGATCACGGCTCACTGTAGCATTGACCTGCTGGGCTCAGGCAATGATCCTCCTGCCTTAGTCTTCCAAGTATTTTAGACTACAGGCTTGTGCCACCATGCCTGGCTTTTTTTTTAACTATAGAGATGAGGTCTCACTATGTTACCCAGGCTGATCTGGAACTCCTGGGCTCAAGGAATCCTCCTGCCTCAGCCTCCCAAAGTGTTGGGATTATAGGGCTGAGCCACCGCACTTGGCCTATCAGTACATTTTATTTATTTTTAATTTTTTTAGAAAGCAGGGTTTATTGAGAAGACAGAAAAGCTCCCTTAGTGGGAAGGGACCTGAGGGCGTTGCCCCCATCAATACATTTTAAATGGCCTTAGCTTACCTATTGAAAATATTTTCAAATTGGGTCACCAAGCAAAATATGACTTTTTGCTATACGCAGGACAGCCAGTGAAAAGAAAGTGACTTACAAGTTTAAAAACGTATACATGTAAAGGCAATAAAAGGTGGAATTCAAGCCACAATTCATTGAGACAAAGGATACTCATAAAGCTAAAATGTGTATTTTATAGTGAATATTTAGCATTATGAATATGGACCAAATAGCTATGTATTAAATAACAAAGTGATTTTCATAAAGCAGTAGTTTCAGGAGATAACAGGAAATATTGACATAAATGTATTAGTAGTTGGAGACTTTTAATTCATTCCCCTGGTCCAAGACAAATCAAGTGGACAAAATAAAAAATAAGGATAATAGAAGAGCTGAACAATTAAATCAATAAAGAAGTTTTGATTACTATGTACTGAACTCTGGACCCTAAGACAGGGAGCATTCCTTCTTTTTAGGTCCCATGGACAGTTCACAAAAACTCACTGTACAGTCTCTATAGATAGGGAAGGAGTGGGAAATTAGGGGATTTTAGGACAGGGAAACTACTCTGTATGGTTCTGTATTGGTGGGTACATGTCATTATACACCTGCCAAAACCCATGGAATGTACAGCATCGAGAATGACCCCTGATACAGACTGCATTTGGGTGATTTTGCTGTGTCAGTGTTAGTTCATGGGTTGAAACAGATGCCCCACCCTGCTGGGTTTCTTGGTGGTGGGAGAAGTGGGCAGGGATGTAGCAACTCTTATACTTTTTTGCTCAACTCTTCAGAGAACCTAAAGTTTCTCTTAAAGAATAAAGTCTGTTTCTCACAAAGTTAAAGTCCTATGAAAGGTGAAAGTGTGTGTGTGTGTGTGTGTGTGTGTGTGTGTATACATGTATATATGTATATATATATACATGCATATATATATACACACATATATATATCATAAACAAAATTAAAAAATAAAGTCTGTCAACCTTATGAAAAATGAGCAAATGGGCTGGTTGTGGTGGCCCACGTCTTGTAATTTGAGTACTTTGAGAGACTGAGGTGGTAGGATCACTTGAGGCCCGGAGTTCCAGACTAGCCTGTGCAACATAACAAGACCCTGTCTCTACAAGAAAAATTGGGAACATGATATGAATAGACAGAAGAGGTGACAGAAAAGGAAATATGGATGACACACAATCATATAAAGAGAGGCTGACATCATTTTTCACCTGTTAATGTTGGTGACAGCACACTCTGGTGAGGCTGTAAGTCAGCAAATAGTCAGAGATTACTCTTGGGCAGTGGAAAGGTCCAGTTGCCACAGAGGGCTCCTAGGAAATAATCATCAGAATTAAAATTTGTCCTTTAATTTAACAGTTCTACTTCTAGACATTTAGAGCTGCCCCTGCTCGTTACATGCATATGACCATTTATTTCAACATTGTTTTGCAAAAAGCAAAAATCACCTCAGGTGCTCATTAGTATTGGACTGGGCAATTATGTTATATCTTAGAGTGGAGTACTATGCCATTTGAATGCCTTTATGTAAAAATATCAAAGATTTTTAAAGAATGTATAGTACTATATACGTCTTAAATTTTTCCCTCAAAGTAACTTTAATGACAGAATATATAAATAAGGAGCATATGGAATTATATCTTAAGTGACCAGTTTTCTAATACTTTCTGCTTTATATTTAAAATCTGTGAGCTATGTTCTTCTCTGTAAGTCTGTGTTAATTTAAAATTGATTTTTAAAACTGTCTTTATCAGCTGGGTATGGCGGTTCATGCCTGTAATCCCAGCACTTTGGGAGGCCGGGGCGAGAGGATTACCTAAGCCCATAGGTTCAAGACCAGCCTGTGCAACATGGCAAGACCTCGTCTCTACAGTAAATTAAAAAATTAGTTGGGTGTGGCTGTACACGCCTGTAGTTCCAGCCACTTGGAAGCCTGAGGTGGAAGGATCATCTGAGCCCAGCAGGTCGAGGGCTGCAGTGGTTGTGAGCACATCACTGTACTTCTCCTGGGTGACAGAGTGAGACTCCAACTAAAAAAAAAAAAAACAACTAAAGTGCTCTTATCATATGACATGGCTGCTCTTACCCTGAGACACTGTCCCAGCCTTGCTTGAGAAGCACATGTGTAGCACAGTTAATTATGTGAGGTATTTTTCTAGACTGATTAAACTGAAGGACTATATCTGTAAACAGAATAGCTGAGTATTTATCTCAAAATAGAATAAGAAGTTTGTCTTTTTTTTTTTTTAATTGAATATTTCCAACAAACGACACCTAAATAGATTTTGATGTATTGGCACTTTGGCATTACTGGTGTTGTAGTGGCTTGTCCAGTATGTTTCTGTGTAAAATATGTTTCTGTGTTCTTTGTTAAATGTTCAATATATTTATATGGAAATTGTTCTCTTTAGCAGGATGAAGTTAAAGGAAGTGGATCGTACAGCCATGCAGGCATGGAGCCCTGCCCAGAATCACCCCATTTACCTAGCTACAGGTAAGTTCAAAAGAGAGGAGGTAGTATGACTAAGCCACTTGTGGCTTATTTGTGCTTGCCCCTTAAGATGCAATTCAAGCCAGGCTCAGTGGGCTCACACCTGTAATCCCAGCACTTTTGGAGGTAGAGGTGAGAGGATTGCCTGAGTTCAGGGGTTTGAGACCAGCCTAGGCAACTTGGTGATATGTCATCTCTACAATAAATAAAAAAAACCTACCGGACATGGTGGTATGTGCCTGTAGTTCTAGCTACCTGGAAGATTGAAGTGGAAGGATCACCTGAGCCCAGCGGTTAGAGGCTGTAACTGTGAGCATGCCACTGCACTCCAGCCTGGGTAAACAGAGTAAGACTCCAGCTCCAAAAAAAAAAAAAAAAAAATGCAGTTCACAGCCAGGCGCAGCTCAATCCTATAATCCTGGCACTTTTGGAGGCAGAGGTGAGAGGATTGCCTGATTCCAGGGGTTCAAGACTAGCCTGGGCAACTTGGCAAGACCTCATCTCTACAATAATAAAAAAAATTAACTGAATGTGGTGGTGTGCATCTGTAGTTCCAACTACTTGAAAGGCTGAGGTGGAGGGATGGCTTGAGCTCAACAGGTCAAGGCTGTCGTGGCCATGAGCATGCTACTGCACTCCAGCCTGGGCAACAGAGTGAGACTCCTACTCAAAAAAAAAGATGCAGTTCACATGTTTTCTCTGGGTAGCCTCTCCACCCCTGGCAACTGAGCTCAGTGGCCTCTCTGTGTCCCATGGCACCTTCTCCATCATAGCATTGATTGTGATGTGCTATGTGTGAAGTGTCTTCGTCTTCCTTGCTTCAGTGGCTTGTGTTTTACCTCTACTCCAGTATTAACCACAGTAAATGACATTTTGAAAACCATGATTAAATATCAGTTTGAATGAATGAAGAGCAATTTTGATGTTATCATTGGTTTGGTTTTGTTTTTATGTCAGAGTCTCACTCTGTTACCCAGGCTGTAGCGCAGTGGCACACTCAAGACCACCGCAGCCTCAACCTGCTGGGTTCAGATGATCCTTCCGCCTCAGCTTTCCAAGTAGCTGGAACTACAGGCACATGCCATCATGCCCAGCTAATTTTTTGATTTATTGTAGAGACGAGGTCTCGCCAAGTTGCTCAGGCTGGTCTCAAACTGGGCTTAGGCAGTCCTCTCACCTCAGCCTCCCAAAGTGCTGGGATTACAGACGTGAGCCACTGCACCCAGCTCGTTATCATTTGTATATAAAAAGAATTAGATTTATATTATGTGTGATTATAACCAGATATAGTAAATGATGGAGTTGGTTTGACAGAGCTTTTAACATATCTACAGACTTTGAATAATTATCTGCATTACCCACTCTATAGACATCATTTCCTAGCCTTGTGCTAGAATTCATTGTTGTAGTAATTTCAGCACTAATGCAGCATTCATGGGCAAGATAATTGAAAAACATCCTTTAATTTCTATTTTGTACCATTTTCTTGGAGTCTTTTATTTTTGCATGTGTAGTTACCATAAATGTATTTTTGTAGGAACATCTGCTCAGCAATTGGATGCAACATTTAGTACCAATGCTTCCCTTGAGATATTTGAATTAGACCTGTCTGATCCATCCTTGGATATGAAATCTTGTGCCACTTTCTCATCTTCTCACAGGTATGAGAGTCAACCTTAAATTCATGTGATCATTTAATTCCTTGTAGTTGATGCTTACTTTGTTTGTAATTATGCTATTAGAAAGTGTAAGGAATGCATACCATCAGTGACATGAAGTATTTTGCAAAAAAGTATATGAGTGAATTTTTAGGAAGTAAAAGAAGTGTTTGTATGTTCTGTTGTCTTTCCTATTGCTGACTTTTCATGTGAAGATGGGAAGGAAAGGCCCTCCCATCTATTTTTTTCTCATGGTATAGTGGAGTCCTTTTTCCTACCTATCTCTGTCGCACCTGCTTACAAAAGGTAAGTGCTGGGTGTGGTAGTTCACGCCTATAATCCTAGCACTTTAGGAGGCTGAGGTGAGAGGATTGGTTGAGCCCAGGAGTTCCAGACTAGCCTGGGCAACATAGTGAGACTTCTTCTCTACAAAAAAATTAAAAAATTAGGCCGGGCTCAGTGGCTCAGCTTGTAATACCATCACTTTGGGAGGCTGAGGTGAGTGGATTGCCTGAGCCTGCAGGTTCAAGACCCACCTGGGCAACTTGGTGACACCTCATCTCTATAATAAATAAAAAATTAGCCAGGCAAGGTAGCATGCGCCTGTAGTTCCAGCTACTTGGAAGGCTGAGGCGGAAGGATCGCCGGAGCCCAGCAGGTCGACACTGCGGTGGCCGGGAGCATGCCACTGCACTCCGGTCTGGGCAGCAAGAGTGAGACTCCAACTCAAAAAAAAAAAATTAGTTGGGTATGGTGGGATACACCTATAGTCCCAGCTACCCAGGAGGCTAAGGCAAAAAGATTACCTGAGTCCAGGAGGTTGAGGCTGCAGTGAGCCATGAGCATGCCACTGTACTCTAGCCTGGAGTAGTTGTATTAAGATATTAATAGGTAGCCGGGCTCGGTGGCTCAGCCTGTAATCCCGCGCCTTTGGGAGGCTGAGGTGAGTGGATTGCCTGAGCCCGTGGGTTCGAGACCCGCCTGGGCAACAAGACCTCATCTCTACAATAAATCAAAAAAATCAGCCGGACGTGGTAGCACATGCCTGTAATTCTGGCTACTTGAAAGGCTGAGGTGGAAGGATCGCCAGAGCCCAGCAGGTCGAGGCTGCGGTGTCCAGGAGTGGCCACTGCATTCCAGTCTGGGCGACAGAGTGAGACTCCAACTCAAAAAAAAAAGATATGAATAGGCCAGGTGTGGTGGCTCACACCTATAATCCGTGAACATGCCACTGCATTCCAGCCTGGATGACAGACTTGACTCAAAAAAAAAAAGAAAAAAAGATACTAATAGAGCTAGGTTCAGTGGCTCACACCTTTTTTTTTTTTTTTTTTTTTGAGTTGGAGTCTCACTCTGTTGCCTAGACTGGAGTACAGTGGCATGCTCCCGGCCACTGCAGCCTCAACCTGCTAGGATCAGGCGATCCTTCCGCCTCAGCCTCCCAAGTAGCCGGAACTACAGGTGCACACCACCACGCCTGGCTAGTTTTTGATTTATTGTAGAGACCAGGTCTCGCCAAGTTGCCCAGGTGGATTGCTCAGGCAATCCACTCACCTTGGCCTACCAACGTGTTGGGATTACAGGCTGAGCCACCGAGCCTGGCCCCTTTTTTTTTGACTTGGAGTCTCACTCTGTTGACCAGGCTGGAGGGCAGTGGTGCACTCATGGCCACCTTAGCCTCGACCTGCTAGGTTGAGGTGATCCTTCCACCTCAGCTTCTAAGTAGCTAGAACGACAGGCATGCGCCACCATGTCTGGCTAGTTTTTTTGATTTATTGTAGCGATGAGATCTCTCCAAGTTGCCCAGCCGGGTCTCGAACCTGTGGTCTCAGACAGTCCTCTTACCTCGGCCTCCCAAAGTGCTGGGATTATAGGCATGAGCTCCTGTGCCCAGCTGGCTCACACCTTTAATTCCAGCACTTTGGGAGGCCAGGATGGGAGGATTGCTTGAACCCAGGAATTCAAGACCAGCCTGGGCACACAGTGAGACCTCACCTCTACAAAAACTACAAAATTAGTTAGGTGCAGTGACATGGGCCTGTAATCTCAGCTACTTGGGTAGCTGGAGTGGGAGGATCCCTTGAGCACAGGAGTTTGAGGCTGCAGTAAGCTATGATTGCACCATTGCACTCCAGCCTGGTGACAGTGAGACTCTGTCTCAAAAGAAAAAAAAAGATATTAATAGTTATTAACTCTGAATAGTAGGTTATTTTTATTTTCTTCTTTGTACTTATCTATATTTAGAAATATGTTTCACAAAGAATTTTGTTGACATGAGTTGTGATAAACCAAGCGATAAGGGTGTTTGGATCACGCTTTCATGCTCTCATATGCCTTGTTGTAATGCAGAGAAAGAATGATTTCATTTGAGTGATAAAATACGCTCTATTTCTTCAATAACTTAGCAGAATTTGAGGAGATTATATCTTAGCTAACAGAATACAGCTCCAGTCTTGGAGTCTCAGGGGCCCTCTCATATTCCTGAGAGCCATCACATGGGGGGAGCCCGATGTCTTTGGTCTAGCATTTTTTCTCCTCACTCCCATCCCTGTCATTCTTGACATTCTGCCACCTTCGTATTTCATCTTATTCCAGATCATATTTTTTATTCTCCAACAGTAGAGATACTTGTCATAATATAATTTTGATGTTACTTTTCTACTGTCTGAATACATTATTTTTCTTAGAAAATGTCAAGTGATTTCTGTAATTCCTTTACTATTTAATAGAACATTAGTGATTCTTCTATAGTCATATGCAGAATTTATTTATTTTTTAAGGGAAGTGGCTGATTAGCTCTATTTTACAGATGAACCACAGGCAATTGAGAGATTAAGTAATTTACCCAGGGTCTGACAGTTTTTAAATTGTAAAATTATTCTCAAACCCATATCTTCTGATATACAAAATATACTTGTTACACTACCTTACCTCTATGAGAATTTTTACTCTTAAAAGACTACAGAATCAAATATGCAGACATGAGCATAAACAAAAAAATAAAATCAACGTCATACACAGTTGCCAGAAATGGAGGGGAAGCAGTGTTTTTGGAGCATTTATGAAAACATAAAATACTGAACATATAATTTCAAAAAACCTATAATCTCAGCGCTTTGGGAGGCTGAGGTGAGAGGATTGCATGAGACCAGCCTGAGCAACATGGCAAGACCTCATCTCTACAATAAATAAATAAATAAATAAATAAATAAATAAAATTAGCTGGGCGTGGTAGCACATGCCTGTAGTTCCAGCTACTTGGAAGGCTGAGGCAAAAGCTGGGCGTGGTAGCATATGCCTGTAGTTCCAGCTACTTGGAAGGCTGAGGCGGAAGAATTGCCAGAGCCCAGGAGTCGAGGCTGCGGAGGCCATGAGCGTGCCACTGCACTCCAGCCTGGGCGACAGAGTGAGACTCCAAACTCAAAAAAAAAAAGTTACTTTACTTGTTTTCTCCTAAAGGTACCACAAGTTGATCTGGGGACCTTATAAGACGGATTCCAAAGGCGAGGTCTCTGGAGTTCTGATTGCAGGTGGTGAAAATGGAAACATTATTCTTTATGATCCTTCCAAAATCATAGCTGGGGACAAGGAAGTTGTGATTGCCCAGAACGAGAAGCACACGGGCCCAGTGAGGGCCTTGGATGTGAACATTTTCCAGGTGAGACTTGGGCTTTTCTTCATAATTCTCAAAATATGTGCTGCTCATTTCAAATAAGTACATGGGCTACGCACGGTGGCTCATGCCTATAAACCCAGCACTTTGGGAGGCTGAGGTGAGAGGATTGCCTGAGTTCACGGGTTTGAGACCAGCCTGGGCAACATGGCGAGACCTCTTCTCTACAATAAATCAAGAAAAATTAGTAAGGCATGGTGGCACATGCCTGTGGTTCCAGCTACTTGGAAGGCTGAGGCAGGATTGCCTGAGCCCAACAGGTTGAGGCTGTGGTGGCCGTAAGCGTGCCACTGCACTCCAGTCTGGACAACAGAGTGAGACTCTGACTCAAAAAATAAAAAGAAAAAAAGAAAAGAAACAAGTACATGAATCCACTGTGCCTCCCCCTGCCTTGAAATTGAAAACTAGAAATGTGTGCCTGTGTAGGTTGATGGATGTTTGTTCGAAGAATGGTAGGTTCAGCTTTGGGATCAGGTGAATGTACTAACTCCATGAGGGGATCAGGCTAACAAGTTTAATTCTGGCAATCTGGAGGTGTCAATGCCATCTGATTAGACATTTTTTAAACATTCAGAGCCTCATAGATTGGAAAGCTTGCATTTTAAAGTTTGTCCTAGGTCAACATTAGGCTGACACGCTATGGTATCTGGGTTAATTCACTGTTGTATTGAGTAGTGTTTTTATGACAAAGAGATTACTACTATGAAATAATGAGAAATTATACAAATATGCAAATTTAAAAATAGGCAATTAAGATTCTTTTTACTGCTATCTTCATAAACATTACTGAATATTAATTATGTAAATGTATAAGTTAATAAAGATCTTGAGTTAATAGGATATTAGAGTATAACATCTAAAAAACGAATGTTAAGAAAATTTTTTGTGTTATAGGTAGGTACTACCATAGGATTCCTCTGTTCTTTTTTTTTTTTTTTGCATCAAGATCTTACTCTTTTGCCCAGGATAGAGTGCAGTGGTATGTGGCATGATCATGGCTACTGCAGCCTCAAACTCCTGGACTCAATTGATCCTTCTGCCTCAGCCTCCCAAGCAGCTGGGACTACAGGTGCACACCACCATACCTGGCTGATTTTTGTATTTTTTGTAGAGATGAAGTCTTGCTTGCTGTCCTGGCTGCTCTCAAACTCCTGGACAAGCAATCCTCCCTCTTGCTTCGGCCTCTCAAAATGCTGGGATTATAGATATGAGCCGTAGCGTCCGTCCTGTTTTCTTAGTTAAATGCCAGTTGTTCATAGGAGAATTTACAGGAGTGAACAGTAGAGGATGATGGTCAATTTCTAAAACCCACGCTCTTCTTGTGCTTTACATCACAGCCTCAGGGTCTTCTTGACCCTTGAAGCGTGTAACAGGTAAGCTAGAAATAGTACCACCTGGAACGAGATTGTCAGAGAACTGGAAACGTGAAGACTTGAGGGATTTTGCTAGGCTTGTACTGGCCCAGCTCTGGAAACTGGGTTTGAGTTATCCCGAGAAAGATGTCATAGTTTTAGGGTTCAGCTGTTTCGGAAAGCAATAATTGGTGACCTTCTGTTTTTTCTCACACTTAAATCTCCTTCCATAGATGCAAAGCTGCAAACAATAATCCACACATGGTTATATGTTCGACTGTTTAAGAATTTGTTCATATAATTTTTTTTATGTCTTGCATAGAAATTAGTTATATTTTGTTAAGGAGAATTTTTTATTTTTTTTGAGTTGGAGTCTTACTCTGTCACCCAGACTGGAGTGCAGTGGCCGCTCCCGGCCACCGCAGCCTCAACCTGCTGGGCTCTGGCGATCCTTCCGCCTCAGCCTTCCAGTAGCTGGAACTACAGGCGCGTGCTACCACGCCTGGCTAATTTTTGACTTATTGTGGAGATCAGGTCTCACCAAGTTGCCCAGGCGGGTCTCGAACCCGTGGGCTCAGGCAATCAACTCACCTCGGCCTCCCAAAGTGCTGGGATTACAGGCTGAGCCACCAAACCCGGTCTAAGTAGAATTTTATAATATGTTTTTCTAGAAGACTGTTTAAATTTGTAAAGATTTATTATGCATACTTATTTATGCATAATTATTCATGTATATGTGTTTTGCTTTTTTAATTAAATAGAAAACTTGTATGTGCTAAAACTAATCTCTTAGAATAACTGAGTTATTCTAAGTTCTGATTATGCATAAGTATTACTTAGTTATTAATTCTTTCTTATTGCAGACTAATCTGGTAGCCTCTGGTGCTAATGAATCTGAAATCTACATTTGGGATCTAAACAATTTTGCAACTCCAATGACGCCAGGAGCAAAAACACAGGTATTATATTGATTTTGATCAGTTTAATTAAAGAACCAAAAGTAACTCTTCTAAACTTATTTGTTTCAGTTTTAAGGTTTTTCACCCGAAACATACATGTTTAAAATCATTGCTTAGATGTTTATTTTTCTTCAGTATAGTAAAGTATTAGTGGTTATGTCTCTTAAACGTATCAGTGAGTCCTTCAACAGTAAATATTTGGTTTCTGCCGCCTGCCAGACACTGTCCAGCATACTAGACATGCAATAATAAAACAAAAATCCTTAACACTTTTCTTAGATATCATATAAGTATTTTTGCTTTCCATGTGTTATCTACTCTGTAATTTAACAACAGCCAACCTTATTTTTTTTTTTTGAGTCAGATTCTCACTCTGTCATCCAGACTAGAGTGCAATGGCTTGCTTGTGGCTACCGCAGCCTCAACCTGCTGGACTCAGGCCAACCTTCTAATTCAGTGTTCTAAGTAGCTGTAGCCACAGGGGTGTGCCACCATACCCAGCTAATTTTTTTGATTTATTGTAGAGACAAGGTTTCACCAAGTTGCCCAGGGTGGTCTTGAACCCCCAGGCTCAGGTAATCCTCATGCCTTAGCCTCCCAAAGTGCTGGGATTATAGGCGTGAGCCTCTGTGCCCGGCCAACAGTCAACCTTCTTAAAAAACATACAGACAAGACCATAGAAAACAGGGTTTTAAAAAAACCCCAAAACTCAAGCCCTTTTCTTACTTATTTCCGGTAAGTTGGGTGAGAACAGTCTTCCCCTGTTCTTCCTTGAGTTTCTTTATGTTTTAGAGGTTGTCCAGTTTGAGTAGCAGTTGTAATTGACCATAACATTTTTAGCAATGGGGAGGTAGCATAATGACAGCATTTGCCCCACCATTTATAAAGATTTGTTTTAATGGTCCAGACCATAACTGCCGGAGTCCAGCTCCAGTGGGTCAGGGTGTCCTGAAGGAGGGATGGTGTCGGCTCAGGAGAAAAAACTTGGAAACTGACTCTGCTGCAAGCAGGAAAAATGCCGGTTTATTGTCTTTTACAACTCCTTTTATACCCTAGATTTTGACTTGAGACGAAAACATGTTTTTCGTTTTCAAGGCAATCAGTTTCAATTTAATGGACAGGACAGGCAAGGTATCTTTGTTCATCCTGTTTTGATCATAAGAAATTATCATTCTAAACATTAACTATAAATTTTATAAACTCCTAACATTTTCTACTGATTATCATTTCTTAATGTCCATACAAAACTTACTTATTTCTATAGCTATTACATTATAAATCACTACCAAGTTCTAAGCACTATAATTGTTACATAGATTTACAAGTCACACCTGTGACCTTCACACAGCATTTTGCAACTAGCTGGGGTAAAACAGCATTCTCAAGGTTTTTTGTTTTTTTTTTTTTTTTTTTTTTGAGTTGGAATCTCACTCTGTCGCCCAGACTGGAGTGCAGTGGCCGCTCCCGGCCACCGCAGCCTCGGCCTGCTGGGCTCCGGCGATCCTTCCACCTCAGCCTTCCGAGTAGCCGGAATTACAGGCATGCGCCACCACGCCCAGCTGATTTTTTTGATTTATTGTAGAGATGAGGTCTCGCTGCCCAGGCGGGTCTCGAACCCGCGGGCTCAGGCAATTCACTCACCTCAGCCTCCCAAAGGCGCGGGATTACAGGCTGAGCCA